TATAATCCCATTTGGATCATTTCCTGGGCCTCCATCCAAACCATGAGATAGCTTTGCTAATCATTAAAATGTACAGGCAGAGGGTGGGCTTCTTTTTTCATAACTATATTGCATTTCTAAAGGGCACTGCATTCATTTCTTTATGAGCATAATCTAATCAGAAAAATAATTGATTCATAAGATGATTGCTCTATAAACAAAGTTACCATTGTTTTAGACTGGAATAGCAACCCTCATTCAATTTCAGATTTTTGGTTTACACATGTACACTGATGAATAATTATCTTCAGGAAATACCTTTAAATATTTTCAATTGCTTCTTTACTGCTTCAGCAAATTTCAGTCACCCTGCAGTCAGGGTCAGACTCAAAGACAAGAGCCACTAAGAACAGTAACTAAGGTTCAGAAAAACCGGAAAGGCAACTTCAAATCAAATGAACACTTTATACATGCTCTTGGTCACTAGAAGATAAACTGATTATGCATTAACATGACATTAATTTATCATGTGTGCCCATTAAACAATAATAACAATATGAGGGTGATTCACCAGGACACCCTGTGGGTTAATACATTACTTTCACTTTTTATTTATGTGCCAACTGGTCCTGGGGTCAATGACAAGTGGATTTATTGATTACATTATCAATGTGATATAGAGATTGTTATCATTACAACTCATAATCAGAAATCCATGCCCAAAATAATTCTTAATAAATAAATTTTGGTTGTTGTTTAAGTTTCTAGTCACCTATCTTCTTCATTCCATATAAGGGATAGTTATATTCAGTGAATATCAATCTCTACCTGCTAACTTTCCTAAACTATTCCAACCCCTGGGCTAACCATTAAATTATGTTGTTTAAATGTATTTGTGAATTCATTCTTCCAAATAAATCATTATTAGTTTAAAAGGTTTATGACGAACTATTTTATATCACTGTTTCAAAATAAACTTTCTCCTGTAAATGCATTTTTTAAAAGCAAATCCTGAATTAGTTTGATTGTCAACACTGATGGGGATATATTAGATATCAGGAACCATGTTATCTGAACTGTTTTACTTTATCTTCCAAACAACCCATGAACTACATAATATTATCCTTATTTTATGGATGACAAAAATTGAGGCCCTCAACATTAACAAAACATGTGTGAAGTCATGCAGCTTATGTGGCATTTGGGGCCATCAGATGCCCCAAGTATGTGAGAGGCTGTGCCATGAAACTGCAGTCTCTGCAATGGTACTTTGGTGAAATTGCCGATTGGTAAGGTGACCCCAAAGCCCCTTCCCTCATGGATCTGGTTGATTGTAAAGCTGGTTTTCTTATTTCTGCTTATTGGTCATGAAACTGGCCTGTAAACTTCTTGAGAGTATGGATTTAGACTTCTTTGTCTACTCCAAAACATTCACCATAGGCACTCAATGATTGTTTGTATATATATTAGACACCTGCTTAAGAGAAGTGACAGAAGTTCCGCTTAAATTATGCACACTAAAAATGAACTGAAAAATGCAGAGGTAGTTCTGACAGCGAGCACGGGAGGATTGAGAACCTCAAATGATAAAATGCCTCTCACCATTTCGAAGACAGGTGCTTTGCACGCCGTGGGCCCAATGGCCACCAGCAGCACAAGAGTCCTATTCCTTCAGCACAATAGCTCCGGCAGTGAATGGCATCCTCCCTGATAACTCTAGCCACGAGATCCCAGGCAAGACTGGAGCTTCCCTAGCTTCAGCCAGGGAAGACTTCAGCCAGGGACTCTGCCCAAGAAGTCGTTCGGTTAGTCCCACCTCTAAGCTGAGGGATGTTGGCTCTGAGATTCCCCTAAGCATATAGGAATCAGTTGCCAGGAATGAGATTGAATTCCCAAAAGGATGGGATATGAAAAATTTTTTTAAATGTTTAAAGCAGACATCTACTACTGCCTTGCATTGAGCTTCACAATTAAAAGTAAGCGTAGTGAAGGTTTATTTCAACATTCCAACAAGACACTGAACATGTCTTATTCAATATACGAGTAAAATATCTGAGGTCCAGAGAGGAGAAGTGGCTTTCCCACTGCCACACAACTTGATAGGAAGCATGCATTTTTCTATGCTGAACCCCATCAGATTTTATTGGATCGGAAAAGGGGAAATGCCAGAGAAAATGCTTGATGCTGCAGGACAGCCACAGCTTTCATGCACATCAACAATACTCGCCCCTTCATGCGGTCTCTGTTTTGTACGGCTGCGAAATCAGAGAAGGCCCAAGGGAAGCGAACTGCTAGATAAAAAAGAATGCCGAGGTATCCTCCAAAGACCAGTAACAAGTGGTGAGGATGTAGAGAAATTGAAACCTTCATACATTGCTGATGGGAATGTAAAATGGTGCACGAGCTGTTGCAACTGCTTGTGCACCATTTTATAGTAGTCAAAAAGTGGGAAAAAGCAAATGAACATCAACCAATCAATGGATAAACAAATGCAATACATCAGTACAAGAGAATACTATTTGGCTATTAAAAGGAATGAAGCACTAACACATGCTACAACATGAACAAACTTTGAAAATACTATGCCATGTGAAAGACAGCAAACACAAAAGAATACATATTGTACCATTCCATTTATGTTAAATGTCCAGAATAGGAAAATTCATCAACACAGAAAATAGTTTAGTAGTTGACAGAAGATTGGACAAGGGAATCATTGGGTGGTATGTGATTCCCTTTTGGAGTGCCAGAAATGTTCTAGAATTAAATCACGGTAATGGTTGTACAACCCTGTGAATGTAGTAAAATCCACTGAACTGTACAAAATATACATACATACATACATGCATACGTGTATGCATTTCCATTTGAAGTATATTATTAAGGGCCTCCCACGCACTGTGTCTTATGCTCCCTGCTGGAGATATAGAGACAAGCAAAACAGCAATGGCTCCCCACGAGGGAAAGTGGGTTTAGTTAAGCACTAAGAAGAATATGAGGAGTATTCAGAATACAGTCTGAATCAGGCATCGTGTTCTCTCTGTTGTTTATCTAATTGCCAAGAGAAAAAACCCAGGGGAGGGTGTATTAATGAGTGGGTTGCAGCTGCCGGGAGCTGTGGCTCAGTGCTCCAGGACCCACTGAAGTATCTCCCATGCTGACTGCTGAATTCTCTCACAGAATAACAGTGACACCCACCCGCAATGGCTCCACTGAAATGAAATGAAATAGGGGCAGCTCCTGTTCCGCCGGAAAGAGCCTCTGGCAGACAATGGTCACTGTGCACAAAAACTGTCCACCACGGCAGCAAATGGACTTAGAAATGGCCAAGGGGATATAAGGCAGGCATTCACAATGACTGTTAGAGAAAACCTCCATCAAAAACTTGTGTATAATCTCTTCTACCTGTTAGTACAGCCAATAGAAAACCTGCTCTTTGCACTGGGAGCTTCCATGCACACGAAGGCAGCATGCCAAAATGGCAGACTCATTATCAAGGAGATTTAGATGGTGCAAATATTTGCCTCATAACTCCAATTCTATACAGTGATTCCAAACAAGCATTGGTATTAAGATTCTAGATTAGATTCCACTCTACAAGAAGCAGGTAATTTCCCCTTCCACACTATCAGGCTTTCATGAAGATGAGTATGCACCATCCCCAAAGTTTCTCGACACAGTAAACCTCCCACTTTTGAGATTCTCTTGCACACTTTGCCATATCTTTTACAGACTCACTTCACTTATCATAATCAAGTCATGGGCATATTTATTAAAAGCTCAATGAATAAAAGAAATAGGTATATTTGATCTTTGAAAATGGAAAGTGAGCAAGGGAGAGCTTGTGGGACCCTAGATTCTGGCTGGGAGTGAAGTAAGGAGGAAGGGTCAGTTAGAGGGTGTGGGCTGATAAAAGAGGGGGTAGAAACATGATGTCAAAATAGATGTACTTATGGTCATTTTATTAAGTTCTCACTATTTTGATGCTACATGGACATAGAATGAGACACTGTGGGTTCTAAAGGCCACAGGAGTAAAAATTATTTGTTTCTTACTTGTCATTTGCCTATAGAAACCCAAGAAATAGTATAAACTAGTAAATGTTGTGTTATTCGGCCAAGCAGTAGACCAGGAATAGGGGACATGAAGAGTACTAGGCAGTAATCAATAAGCAGTAACTCCTGAATTCCTGCAGAAAGCCTAATGTAAGCTCTCATATAGTGGGATTCAACTGATATCTCTCGAGCACTTACTATTTACTAATATTGCTTCTAGCTAAGGAGAATCCTAAAGAAACTTGATCAAATCATAGTTTCAGGTCTTAAAAAGCTCATTACCTAATTAAAGATAAATGTGAGTAAAATGGAATAGAAGGCAGGCTCACTCGTTAATCATAAGTCTAAGCTTCCAAGCTTGGTTTTCAGCTTTGAAGTTTTGGAAACTGATCTGAGCAACATCAAGAGTAGATTCATTTCTCAGATGTCCCAAGATGAACTATGCCAGCTTTTGTGTCTATAATTATTTCCTCATTTATTGCTAATGAACTGCTCCTCTGATATTCATGCTCTTTCCTTAGATATTAAATGCCTAGATATTAAATTAGTTGTTTAAATTAGATGATCCCACCATCATCATCACTTTGTATTTTCATAGGTCTTCCTCCAGAAAATCTATATGTTTCTTTGTTTGTTTTTATTTTTATTTTATTGTTGTTCAAATGTAGTTTTCTCCATGTTCCTGCCACCATTTTCCTCTGCCCCATCTACCCCCACCTCCCACCCTCATTCTTTTTCCTCTTTGGCTTTGTCCTTTATACATGCTCTCTGATGACCCTCCCCCTTAAAAACATTATCTCCTTTAACTTTAGAATGTTCCTTCCAGTCAAGCAGAAGACCAAAAAACATGATCACATAAATCTGAGAGGAGAATGCAGTTGGTCGACTTCTCAGGGTAGGCCTTTCCATGTGTTGAGTCCTGGCACAAAAGAACCATATTTTTGGAGATGAAAAATGTTCAAAATGACTGCACACGATCAAAGCTCAGGGTGGAGGCCAGTCCTGGCCAGTGAGCTTCTGAGTGTCTGAAGTGTGCTACATTAATAGCACGGTGTTCGCTAGCACCAGCAGAGCCTCTCTCTGTGACTAGAGTTTAATAGTGCTCTCTGCCACATTTGGAAAAAATTTAAAAATAATTAATTAATAAAATTTTTTTAATTAAAAAAATGTTCTAAATGAAAATATAAAATTAGATAATGAAAAATTATAAATGAGAAAACTAATTAATGAAGTGGATAACAAGAAAGTCACATATGACATGTACACTGTGAATGTGAAATGCATATCACGTCATTTGAGGAGTTGAAAAGGATAAGACTGGGACAACTTCTTGGGTCCACTTCGTTCCACCCCACATACCTTTAAATAAAAAGCTGACAAGCTGATTTTGTACCTAAAGTGAAAAGGTATTTCTATGGCGCTACTGAGAACCTATCAGCAAATCTTCAAAAATACATATATCAGTGATATGTTACTTCACATTTCTTCTTGAGAACTAAGATTAAGGAAGACCTCAAAGTATTTCTACTCAATTGTTACTTTGCTATTAGGAACAGAAAAGGAGGAAAATATGGCAGTGTTACAAAATACCTGTCATCAGGGTTTTAAGGGTCATTTTTCTAGAGGATTTCTCTTTTCTTAACAAATCTAATGCTTTTGGAAGACACTTGGCAAGGTCGACCCATCACAATGAAGAAACCCAGTGAATACTAAAGGATAAAAATAAATAAATATCTGAATTTGAAGCATGCCAGTGACATTAAGTACTTTGTAGACAGAAGAAAAATATTATCATCTAAGTCACTACCTTTAACATCCTCACCCCGTGGGGCTGTTCTTGAAATGACAGCACTATGATGTGATGAAGTAATGGACATAAAATGAGAAAATAAGACATCTGAGTCTCAATCTCCAGTCTGTCATTCCCTAGTAATGTGCCTTCAGGTGGGGTGACCTAAAGCTGTGTGACCTTTGGGTCTTATATAGGCTGCTCTGGTCTCTTCTGAGAAAACCAGACAATCCTACCATGGGAGTTTCACTGAGTAGATCAGGGACTGGCGCTTAATCCAAGAATAACCCAATAGAATAGTACCACATCTCATGGTGGCTGAGTGGGCCAATCCATTTGCTCCTTGTTTGAGGAAGCTGAAGATAGGAGAGAGAGAGACCATCAGTGACAGGTACTTTAAGAGGTCCAGAGGGAGACCAGACCATTGGGTAGCACTATGCAGACCTAGTTCATGAAGCCAAGCCATGAACCCTAAGATCAGTTATGCCAACCCAGATGAAGAGACAACGTTTTAGAGTTCACTTTTTTAGTGGGGGCACCTTTTCTAATTTACACTAAGATTCCTTATATACCAGCTATGTGTTAGGAGAGATAACAGGATGACTCAAAACTGGATCAGAAAAGTTGGGATCTTCTCAATAATTCCCATTACTTAAGACTTCTCTGACTAGTTTACTTATACCCTTGGGGATATAAAGCAACATAACTTAGGGGTATGTATGAAAGCCACAGATTTTTCATGTGTTTAATAAATATGCATTAATCTCCTCATTTGAATACACAAATAAATAAAAGAAAGATTCCCTATTCTCCTAGACCTTTCATTCTACCTGAGGAGACCATCAATAAAAAAAAAAAATGCTGGGTTAAAACATGTACTTTTGAAGCTGAGAAGGAGAATAGAGAGTTTATGTAGGTAGCCAGAGTGGGGAATTTACCTACTTTTACTATAAACATTGTGTGTGGGGGTGGGGGAATTTTAATATGAAACCTAAAGGATGTTTTATATAGGGTTATACAAATTTCTAATGACTTTTCGGGATAAAACACGAGCCTTCAAAGACTTGGAGATGACGAGGCTGAGTTCCAGGTCCCTGGGGGAACACATTGACTCTCCACTGTAATTAACAGTGATTTGATGTGGATTTTGGAAGACACTGACGGTTACAGGGGTGCCTCCTTGTTTCATTCAACCAAATGAATCTGAGATACACTGTATGCCCATGTGATCCACTTATCTTGTCCTTTATTGTTCTTGGGACTTTGCGTTTTTTTAATGAGTGCTCCTGTATGATTTCTTTTAAGTTATAAAAATTCAGTCCTTGCTAAATGGAACCACAGTGCCATGTTGGCTCATCCTGCATCCTGTCCATGTAAGATGGCTTTCAACTGCCATCTCACATCCTGTGGGAAACCCAAAGTTCTCCTTGGGAATAGATAGACATTGTTAGGGTTTCCACTGCTCTTTAGTCATGCTGGCTTCAGTTGCTCTCAACTCTCTGTGTGTATTTTATGACCATGACTGTGCCTGTGCTTCTTTACTGCACTTCCATCCCCTTAGAACAAATGCATACACTGTTCTGCTCATGCAAGGTACCCCCTGGAGATAGAAATCTACTGGAGAAGAAGAAATCATGTTACAGAAATTTTCAGCAAAATGACTGAGAATTAGATATTACTTTTTTCTGTTTTTTTTTTTACTAGTCCTTTAACAATTGGTGCCAACTTGGGATCCAAATATTTATCATTTGACCCAGTAACCCCTGCTTCCCTATCTCCTCCATTAGATCTCATCTGCTCACTATTGCCCATGCTCCTCACCAGTTCCTTTCTTTGAAGAAAAGTTTATCTATCTCTCTATGGTCTCTTTCCAATCTGTTCCTCAAAGCCTAAGCTTCTCTGTTCAAGCAGTTTATCAAGGTGGTTTCCCAAACAAATGTAATTCCTTTCCTCAGGGGAAAGAAGTTACCCATCGGTAAAATGTTCTATCCACTCCCCTATATAAAGAAACTGGAAAACTAAACTGTTTCAGACAAAGGTGCGATCATCTCAGTGTAACCTGTACAAGAGAAAGAACCCCACGAGTTTCACCATTCCCACTGGAACCACCTCAGTTAGGGTGTTTTCATTAAAGACAGTCATAGAGTCTCATATCATATTTCTTCATCTCACAAAAGGAAATGGCCTGGCTGGTGTGGCTCAGTGGATTGAGTGCTGGTTTGCAAACCAAAGGGTCACTGGTTCAATTCCCAGTCTAGGGCACATGCCTGGGTTGTGGGCCAGGTTCCCAGTAGGGGAAGTGTAAGAGGCAACCACACATTGAGGTATCCCTCCCTCTCCCTCTTTCTCCCTCCCTCCCCTCTCTCTAAAAATAAAATATTTTTTAAAAAGGGAAAATAGAAAATGGGATGGAAATGCAATTTTTAATTTGACTTGACCTAGCTTAATTTCAAAGCTGGATCTAAGAAGTGTCCTCAACAGGTAAATGGTCTAATTATGGTCACAATCTTTTAACCAATCCCTGGGTTAAATCAAAAATGAAGAGTAACTATGTCTGTTTTGCAAAATATGTAAGAAGTGTGGCATCATTTGTGGGCAGAGCTGTGGTATAGTAGAAAGATTCCATTTTCATGTATATTTAGATTTCACTATCTATGAAAATTTAATCTATCCTTAGTGCAGGTGTGTGCGCAAGCACCTGCCAGGGGTTATCTGCTTGATATAAAAAAAAAAAAATAGAAAACCTACCCACAACTAGTGCTGGCAGGAAACTTTTAAAGAGACTAAAATAAAATGTCCACACCCATGTGTACTGTGGTGTAAGACTCAGAGTATCAAATATTGTGAATCTGGTTCTACAGGAGATTACGGAACTTTTTCTAGACTTATAAGCTCTAACTTGAGAAAACAGACAGATGAGGAAGAAAATTCTGGGGTGAAAGAAACCATTGGTTAGCAGAAGCATTTTCAAAGGATGGATGAGGCTGAAGGAGGCTTTTCTCCAGAGGAAATACCTCTGAGCACAGCAGAGAAAGGAAAGGCCCACGGGCTTTGGTTTGGGAGGCGCTCAGCTTCTTTTATCCATTCTCCCCACCTTTGCTTTGATTCCTTTCAATTCCCCCCACATTAAACAGCATATGAGAGAGCCATATAACCCTTTGTACATAATGTGGTATGGAGGACAAAGAACAAGATTGTAGACAGAAGTGAAAAACTTCTGCCTTATATTCCCCCTTGGCCAAGTCCAAGAAGAAAGCAGGCCTCCACCGGGACCCCCAGGATTTCCAGGCTGTAAAGGGCAGAGAACAGAGGTGAGCAGTGCACCTTGCAGAACCAGGAGCCACGAGACAGAGCATGAGGTATGGATGAGCAGCTGCCAGATGACTCAGGAGGAGCAAGGGACCAACTGCTCTATTTCCTAGTGTATACCGAGGAAGGTGACCACTGAAGGTGTTGGAAGTTAATGTTTGACTTGCTCCTGGCAGAAAAAATGGAACAGCATTTGGCACTTACAGGTGCTCCAGCAAGGTCGACCTGAAGAGAAAGACATTTCATCCTAGTAATGTTCAATTAAAAAGAAATATTCTTCCTCTAATTCTTACCTATAGGCATATCCAATTCAGAGAAAGAAGATGCGCTCTTCAGGAAATGTGATCTTAGAGTTGAACTCTTGAAGATATTTTGGAAGTTAAATGCTAGCTATGACTTTTTAGTAATATTAATTTCTCACAGTGGTGGAGTGTTTTCCAATTTAAAAAGGACTGACAGTTACAAAAAATGGCTTGCTTCAAAAAGGTATGGATCTGATCAAAGTGAAAATGATGACTGTTCACTGAGGCAGTACTTAGGGGTCACTTCTACTGGCTCGTGTCACCGGCTGTGCTTTCCCTGACTCCACACACAAGTGAACAGCCAACATGCTCATCCAGATCCGATGCTCCTCCTTTTGGGTCTTCAGACAGAACCTGGTTAACAATTTACTTTTAGATAAAGAGTTCCTGCCTTCAGGAATCAAAGCTCATTTCTGAGTTCTCTGAAAAGGAAATAACCACAATGCTTTTGTTGAGAGTGACATCATTAAACTATAATTATTTTTAGCACAGAGGGGTGCATAAGGAGGACTTTTGTAAAATATATACAGTACAGCAGTAATTTATCAAGCACTCCAAGACTTTGCTAGCATGTTGTGATGGTTAGTTTTATGTGTCAGCTTGGCTGGGCCCCAATACCAGATATTTGATCAAATAATATTCTAGATGTTTCTGTGGGAGTATATTTTTTGGATTATTTTAGATTAACATCTAAATCCATAGGCCTTAAGTAAAGTG